GTGGGAATACATCCGTGGGGGAGGTGTGTAATTTTGGCTACACTCCTGGAGGAAGGTAACAATCCAGGAGGAGGTTCAGAGAACAGACCTTGTGCTGAAAACCCCTCAGGATATAGGATGACACTGATAACAATCAGGGAAAGAAATTTGACAAGCAGTTTTAAAAAATTATTCATATCTAAGGTACCTGGCACAAGTAATCCATTCAAAATAGCTTTAGAAGCATTGGGGCTGTGTATACAATGGTGGTTATCTACGAAATTGCCACTAAACGCTCAAACCATTCCTACAGATTGCCATGCGTTGGGTGCTATGCAAATTCATGCAGTGCAGGATAATGTGGCACTCTTCACCAAATTATCTCTATATTGCTAATTATACCATTGAATTTTGATAAAGCGTCTATAAATAGCATAACAGATGCTTTTGTTCACAGACTTCAGGTACCTATCTTTTTCAAGAGCTCATTCTGATGTTGGTTCATTTGAACTGGCAGATGCTGGTTGGGGCCAGAGAGTTTTCCTCGTCACGGGTGAGTTTAAGTCCAGGACACTTAGGTCGATGAACCCTGTGTTTTTAATGGTAAATGGACCACGTTATAAATAAACAGGTCCTAGGTGTTTGAGTGAGTCAAAGCGCATGCCACGTCTATTCCATTTGGCCATGTACCGTAGGGTGATGAGCGAGTTCATCCGGACACCTACATGTCATAATTACTCCCTGGGCAAGAACGGCGAGACATCAGAATGGATTTATATGTTATAGGTAAATTATTTTCCTGACTTTTGTCATAAAAGAACACGACGCAATCCTCCCCAAAAAAGTCAGAGGGGAGAGACAAGCACATATTTTTGTTTTCCTTAATGGTTTCTTGAAACTTGATTTTCAAGGAACCACCTATGAATAAAAATGGTTTTGTGTGCATAGCGGGAGAGGGAATCTCGGAGAGACCAGCATTTTGAATCCTAACACTACATAAATACTCGCCTATCAAGAAATATCCATTACCAGCTTGTCGATGTTTTACCAAAGCTACAGCCCCACCTGAGGCTATTTGCCTGTATACTGGGTTACCACACACCATAGCAATTACCTTAATTGGTTCGACAACTGTCAGAAATATGTTTTGGACAGCAGGGGATTTTATTTCCGCTGACTTTTCCAGCAAAAGAGTTAACACGAGATAAATGCTGGCTGGCCTCACAAGTGGGTACCACAGAACATACAAAAGCCAAGCACAGAAACACTAGCTCCTGAGCCTGTATCTCAGTGTCTTTTCAATATGCAGTTTATTCTTCAACTGTAGAGAGCAGCTGCCTCTTTTGTCATCAGGAGTCACCCACCTATAAGCCTCGTGATCTCCCTGGAAATCTCACCACTGCCAGTCCCTTCTCCCACGAAAGATCACTGCTTTGTTCTTAGAACGCAAAGAATGCAAGTAGCCTTCTGTGCCATGATTTTTTTTCATCTCAGCAATAAGTTATTTTAATGTCCATTTCTCTGAATACTTGATTCACCAAATAGGTGGAATTCTTAGGCTGTTATTCTCTAACTTTATTGTTGAGCAAATTTTGCTCTGTCCTGCATAAAACATCTATCATCCAGCCTTCGAAGAGCTAATATTGCATTAGGTGACGTAAAATACAAGCATAATGTGTAGATTAATCCCATTTACAACATACAGAGATGAATGCCATTCATAAAAGGTGCAGCTCAATTTTAAAGATAAATTTGGATTTCATTTCATTTCATTACCATTTTAAGTTCGGCTTCTATAGAAAGAAAAGGCAGCAAGTCACAGGGGTGACAACTCCAGATGAGCAGCCGGAGACCATTGGTTCTGGATCTGGCTCCAGCGCAACTGTGGACACATCACTTAATCTTTCTGGGCCCAATGGACTAAAGGGTCTCCAAGATGCCTCCCAGCCTAACATACAATCCGAAATCATTCATCGTCAACCTCCCCATTTGTAATTACTACTGCAAGCGTGCATTTGCTGGTTGCTGTTGTTTCTCCCAGAAGGGGATTTCTCATAGTCTCAGCTTCAGATTCCAACCTTACACTCCCTAAATCTCAAGATGACCATTCCACCTTTCCAAATACAGGGAGGAATGAGAGTTGGAGAGATGAATCTTTACGCCATTCTAATAAGGTTTTATTTTTAATTATAAATGTATATTCTAATAAATATCCTAATAGTGGAAATAATTTGGTATTTTTGACATTTTTGAACTATGAAGACTCAAATTGAAGTTATTATTTTATAATTATGGGAACCACAGTGTTTTGCAAAATTAAATATGAAGAACTTGACCCTTCCAGGGTGGATCAACGATTTTCCCTTGGCTTACATTAGATCAGGATTTCCCATTTCTTAGAAAATTCATCAAGGTTTTTGTAATCTCTCTTTTGAGAATGGTTTTAAGTTATTATAGTTTGCATAAATAAATATCTATTTTGTAGCCCATAATTATTTTTCATGCCGTATATTTCCTCAAATTTTGTAAGTATGTGGGGGGGGGGGGCATGCTATTTTTAATGATTAGGAAAAGAAATAATATATAGCATTTTGTGGCTTTTTCCTGTTGATCAAGCCCAGTTAGAAGGAGCTTTCATTCTGGATGGGTGTTCAATGATATCAAGTGTTAATTTAGTTCTGAGTATCTGTCGTGAGGTGTCACAGTGGTTAAAAGGGACAAGCAGGTGGCAATAGGAAGTTTAGATTTCATCTCATGTAGCAGAAAGTCATGGACTTTACATCAGGGCTCTTTCACTTTCTGGCTCTGCGACCTTAGGCCAATTATTTAACCTCTCTGACTCTCAGGTTCTCATTTGTAAAAATGGAGAGATAGAGGCAGTTAGAGAAGCTGTCTTAGGTGGTATAGTAATTTGCTAGCGCTGTCGTAACAAAATACCGCGGCTTGGGTGGTTTAAACAACTGGGATGTATTTTCTCACAGTTCTGGAAGCTGATGTCTGAGATCAAGGTGTTGGCAGGGTTAATTCCTTCTGAGGCCTCTCTCCTTGGCTTACAGATGGATGCTTTCTGTCTGCGGCATCATGGTCATCCCTCTGTGTGCACACGTGTCTGGTATCTCTCTCTGTGTGTCCAAATTTCCTCTTCTATAAGGACACCAATCACATTGACTTAGGGCCCACCCTAAAGACCTCATTTTAACCTAATCACCTCTTTAAAGACCTCATGTCCAAACACAGTCACATTCTGGGGGTAAGGACTTCAACCTATGGATTTTGGGAGAACACAGTTCATAACTGGTAGGTTCCCTGAGAAACAGACTCTGAGATGACTGTTTGCATGCAGCAGATTTATTGGGGGTAAGGAAAGGTCTTAGGAACAAAGCCGGTAAAGAAGTGAGGGAAGCAGGGTTGCGCAATGGGAGAATTTGAGCCACCATAGAATCATAACAGAGGCATCAATTGACCCCACAGAGAGCTCTGGATCTAGGATGGCCCTTTAGAGTTGCCCCAAATTGAAACAAGGAGGAGGCTGAGTCTTTGTACCCCCACACTAATCAGATGCCTCCAGGAAAGGGATGCTCCAGGGAACGGAAGGGGGTGTATCCTTGGGCCAGGAGACTTCCTACAGTTGAACATCGCTCATGTGAGCCTTAAGCTTGGCTGCTGGGGGACTGAGTGCCTTGGTCCTGAAAAGGGGGAGCAGGGTGGCACCCCTCAGCTTCCACTGGAGAGGTAAATGCAAATTTCACCATTTTACAGAATTTTGATGAGGACTGACAGACAGTCCTGTAATGTAATACGTACTTTATTGATTTTAGTTCCCCTTCCATGGCCCCAATCTGCATATGTCCACAAGGCCCTTCCCTAACAGCAAGATCCTCAAGCAGTGGGAGATCCTGGCCCCCTCCCAACTCTGCTTCACGTGTTTCCGCTGAACAGGAACAGGGTCCGGGAGAGCCGGTTTTCAGGTACTTTCCCATGTTGATATTTAACTTCCTTCCCCTTGACCCCCTCCCTCCTGTCATCCAGAAAGCTCCAATCAACAATACATAAACCATCTGAACTCTCGATAAACAGAACTCTTCAGGGAGCCACATGCTGTTCCTTTACAAAGCTCTGTAATTTTCAGGGTGGTATTCTTTTTTTCTTTATTATTTTTAAATACCCTGCATTTAAAGTTTCACATCTGCAGAGCCGCCGAGAAGAGCATGTGGAACATAAAGCACAGTGAGCACTGGAAGAAAACAAAAGAGGAGTGGGTGGATTCCGACAAAGAGGTTGCCTTGTACCTCTGACACCAGGCTTTTTTTGTTGTTGTCGATTGGTACAAATGACAGTCCATTTGCAAGAGCCATGTGCCTCTCAAACTGTAAAATAATACTTCATGGTGGTGAGTCCTTGGGTTGAGGAACATTGGGTTTAGAGAGAGAAACTAAATGGCAGCCCATTGTTATAGAAAATGTAACCTAGCAGTGAATGGATGACAGAAATAAAGACTTTTAAGTAAAGAAAGGCAATGTGTACAAGTGAAAGAAACACATAGTATCCTTCTTGTCTGCAGCTTTTCCTAAGGGAGAATAGCAGAAAATAAATGGGTTTGCCCAACATATTTATTCTCCCAAGGACAAAACCTCATGTGGCCTGTCCTTCAATCGGCCTGGGGATCCTATTTCCAGGTGTAAACTCATACCCACCATGTCAGGAAGGATGAAGGAGCAAAATGCTTCAGACCATGAAATGAAACAGTCCCTTCTGACCTCAGATAAGCCTCTGAGTGTTTTTTGGGGTGGCGTAAAACACATCCACACCCTGCTTAACAGATACAGAGGAGAAAAAACTATTTAACATTAAGTGAGTCAGGGATCAGGGACAGATCCCAAGGGGAGCACTTGGCTTATCAGGCTGCCATTTCCCTCCTGACATGTTTCATTCATTAATTCTTCACTTACTGAGCACCTTCTGTCTTAGTCAGCTCAGGCTGTCATAAGAAAATACCATGGACTGGGTGGCTTATACCAAGACATTTATTTCTCACAGTTCCAAAGGCTGGGGGTCTAAGATGAAGGTGCCAGCAGATTTGGTTCCTCATGACAGTTCTCTTCCTGCCTTACAGATGGCCACCGTCTCAATGTGTCCTCACCTGGTAGAGAGAGAGAAGAAGCAAGCTCTCCAGTGTCTCTTCTTATAAGGGCACTAATCCCATTATGATTATCTCTCAAATTCTCTCTCAAAGGCCCCATCTCCAGACACATTGGGTGTGAAAGCTTCAAAGTAGGAATTTGGTAGGGGATGTAACTCAGTCCATAGCACCTTCTATGCCATAGAGAGAAGCAGGGAGGGGGGATATGTTCTCTGCTTTCAAAGATCAGAATGAGAGAGAGAGAACCTAGTTAGGGAAGTCAAAGAGGACTTCCCCATAGAAATGATGTCTGAGCTAGAATCTGAGAGATGAGTAGAGGTCAAGTAGGAAAGAGCATTTGAGGTAGAGGGGCAGTGTGAGCAGAGGCGCTACAGCAGGAGGCAAATCTGACAAGTTCAAAGTCTGAAGAAGGTCACTGCAGCTAGAGCAGAAAGTACTCAGAGAAGCATAAGGGGCAGAGGGAGGTTGGAGAGGTTAGTGGTGACCAGACCCGACAGGGCCTTGCCAATCCTGCTAAGGAGCTGTCCTTATACCCAACACGGAGTGAATCCTCTGAAGGAATTTGCCAAAGGTGGAGGCATGATCGTATTTACAGTTTGAAAAGATTGTCCTGCCTCCCATGTGGAGTGTCCTGAATCTGAACGGATGCCCGTTGATGTTTGGAAGTAATTGCAGCAAACTGAGCAGGAGGTGGTGATGACTTAGACTAGAATGATAACGTTAGGAAAGAAGATGTGTGAACTTATTCACGCGTTACTGAGGAGGGGAAGGCAACAGGATTTGGCAATAGATTAGATACTGGGGACAAAGGAGAGAGAATTAGTGAAGCTCGTTATCCTTGACACCTGACACAAAAATCTGGCCCAGATGTGTGCGCACACTCTAGATCTTATACCTCCACATATTTCCCATGACCTTGGTTCATCCTTGACCTGTTTGATATGAGACCTCCTTCTTGCCCTCCTGCTCTGCTCTAATTACAGAAATATGGCCCCTGCAGTCTTTGTTTTCCAGAAAGCTGCTTCTGGCTGTGTTTGGCCATTGGGAAACACTGTAATGGAGTAGAAAGCAGGAAGAAGAGAGACCCAGGGTGTGTCTTTTCCTCTCAGGTGGTAATATCTGGGTGCCAGTTCCTGCAGGACAAGTTCGCTTTGCTTCCAGCTGCCCTCTGATGGCCCCGGCCCTGAGATCCAAGAACACTGCTTCTCTTTATTGTACCCCCAGAATAAGGATTTTAGTGCTTTTCTACAGTCACCAGTCTCTGGGTTATCTCACTATGCTCTATTTCTCAGCCCTTCCCTTGTCTAGGTAACTATTTCCCTGAATTAAGTTCCCTCCGTTTGCCTGGTCTGACCTTGTTTCATACAGTTCTCAAAGCCACTTGGTCCAGAAATGCATCCCTTCCAACCACTCATCAATGCCTGAAACTCATTTGTTTCCCTCCACCACGAAATAGAAGGCTTAAGATACAAATCGTCCTAGGAGACTTTACAAACTGAATTATACATAGGACACGTTTTTCCCCCCAGAGAGCAGAATGTATGTATTTGGTATAAGAAAGAACAGGATGCAGTGGGGTGAGGGTAGAGTCACAAGGAGAAAGGAGTCACAAGGAGAAGGTCAAGGAATGAAGGAGTTAGAAAAAGAAAGTGAAACATGCTAAAAATTGACTTGCTTCACAATTTGCCAAGGCCAGGCCACAGGGTGACAGCATTGCTGTACAGATATATGAAGTCATGCCACCCAAAGGTTAGGTCGGTTACATCAAAGGGTAATTAACAATTAGACAACTAAAAGTAGAGCCTCAAGAGGCATCCTTATAAAGCTGCATTAGCAAAGAGAAGCATGGGAGACCCAAGAGTCTATTCTGTTTTTTTATTTTATTTATGGCAAAGTTAAAATAATTTCCACCTGAAATCTACACCAAGCTACGATAGCCCTTCAGTCTCCATTCTCTCTTGAATGTCATTTACAAAAGAAAAAACGTGTGGCTGTATGGTCTGCATATCACTGGTAAGTAGATGCCTAATGTACTGGGGCAGGAAGCAGAAGCGTGAACCCAAGTTATGTTTGTTCAGAGCCAGGACCTTTTCATCCTCATGAGGATAATTCTAGTGTCATACAAAATTGGATTTGCTCAGTTGTAAACATAACCTATGTATTAGCAATTTGTCCTGTGAATGACCCAGATTGTGGTGTTTATAGACAGCTCACATCGTTTGGTATGTCGTGTGCCCAGCATCATTTAGTACATGCAACCGGTCGAATTCTGCAACCTTTCCACCTCTCCATGTGAGTACACACAACGCTTACATCCATCTTGCAAACTCAGTTAATTCAAGATTTTCAAGTAAAGTTCAGTTAACTACAGCAACAAATATCTTGCACACCAGTCTGCGAAGCTCACCTGGCTTGTCACAGTTGCCCCGGCCTGAGTTAGTCCATTTCCAGACTTTCCAGGATTTCCGCGACTGTGTACAATCTGTTCGCTCTCCAAAGAGAAAGAGTAAGAGAGATAGAAGATAGATAGAAATAGAGATATGTATATTATGTATATATGTATTTCATTACATGTATATATAGTAGTGTACCTAACTTCAATAGTAGTCTGTACTTACATGTGCCAAAAAAAGACTTTGATAAACAATTTTCAAATCATACTTTTTTTAATGGATTACACCATTAGTAACGTAGGTTTTTATTTTTATTTACTTGTTCATTCATTCATAAAGTATTCATATGCCAAATATGGCTTGGGAATCTACTGGGTCATTGTGCTGAGAGCTAGTCCACACCTTAACGCTACTTACAGTCTATCTGCGCTGTCTAAGATGTCAGTCACTGGCCACAGGTGCCTACTGAGCACTTTAAATGTGGCTAGCCTGAATTGAGGTGTGCCGTAAGTATAAAATGCACACTGGCTTTCTCCAAGACTTAGTACAAAAATAATATAAAATATCTCATTAACAATTTTTGTGTGGATTACATGTTGAAGTAACATTTTAGATAAATTACATACGCTTGTAAAATTAATTTTAACTGTTTATTTTTACCTTTTTAAGTGTGGCTACTTGAAAATTAAAAAATACCTTTGGGGCCAGCCCTGGTGGCCTAGTGGTTAAGTTTAGCGCACTCCACTTTGGGGGCCCAGGTTCAGTTACCGGGCGCAGACCTATAGCACTGTTAGTGGCCATGCTGTGCTGGCAGCCCAAGTACTAAAAAATAGAGGAAGTTTGGCATGGATGTTAGCTCAGGGTGAATCTTCCTCAGCAAAAAAAAAAAAAAAAAAAAATTGTTGCTGAGGGCAGTTTAAATAAATAATCACCCATCTAATGACAAAATTGTAGTAAAAGAAATTCAAATCCCCTTCCACCACCGACGTTAGCCATGTTTGACCACCTCATTGGTGATTTGGGGAATGCAACGTTCCCTCCAGGCGATATGAAGTGTAGGAAAACAAAATGAGGTTGGTCGCCAGAGAAATCTGGCTTTGAATCTAGTACTCATTAGCTATGTGGCCCTGGACAAGTTATTAAACTTTCTGAGTCTTCATTCCTTCATCAGTTCAACACCCCACAGGATTTAGAAGGATTAAGGATAATGAATGTAAAGTACTAAGCTCCGTGTTTGACATATACTAGCTGCCCAAAAATAATACCAATTATTTTGTTTGTTTGCTTTTTAAATCAAGTGTGCATGGGAACAGGTGGGTAATATAGGACTGATTTTGCATTAGTGTCACCATGTCAACTCAAACAGCATCAGTGGTCATCACACACAGTGGAAATGATGCAGTGATGCAGATGGAAGGAAGGGCCCCACCAGCAAAGTGTTAATTGGGAAGGGCTCTCTTAACCCTTTGTTAATTACAAACCATACACATCTCCAACCCATATAAAGAGCTCACCTGGGAATTCCAAGGTAGCATTTATGCCAATGGCATAATGAGAGAAGTGAGCAGGGCACAAGTCCCTTTGCTCAGACGTGAGCCACTCACTATTGCCTGCCGCCTTCTCCCCGTGTGACCAAGGCCTTCACACCCTGAGCCATGATCTTTGATGAAGCTTTAGAAGTCTCTGATAGCTCTCTGTGCTTCTAAAAACTAGACTGCAAAGCTGACTGCACACTGCTTTAGGTTGGCTTACCAACCAATTAACCAAGTATAAAAGAAATCTTGAATGAAGGCTCTGTGTCAAGAAATCCTCAATCTGATTTATATCTATTATGACTCTGGACAGGCTTCCCAAGACACAGGTGAACTTCACAAGAATAACCGTTAGATAATGGTAGCCTACAGCCTATCCAAACTGGAATTTTATTCCGAATCCATTCTTTCTAAGGTGTATAGCTCTCCTCTTCCTTTTTCTTTGCCCAAAAAACAATAGGTAGGCATAAATCAAACACAGGCATAGTAAAACATAATGCTTACTGTTGTTTGAAACCTAGAATTTATGTTTCCACATTGCTTCAATATTGTATATGTCTCTGAAACACCCTGAACAGTTACTAACAGCCTAGCCATCTAATGTTCCCATGGAAAAATGAGTCCAGAATGTAACTCTGGTCCAGCATATACTCCTTTCAGCCCTGATGGATTGGGATAATGTCCCCTCACCTGTCATAGCTTCTTTTATTCTCTCACTTGTTCCTTCCACTGTAAAGAAATTTCCAGCCTCTTCTCTCTCCAGCAGACCCACATCTACTTCCTCTCTCACCTTCCTAGCTACATTGCAACCCAATCCTAGCAGTAGACTTGCTAATCCGGTTGGTTAGCATTCCAGGACATTTATCAGGCTGGAGTTTACTAGTTGCATGGGCTGCTATGTGTTAAGAGGTACACAGACAGGCTCCACATCCCTCCTTCCATTTCATTCATTGAACAAATACATATTGAGTGCCTTCTCTATCCCCTGCACTGTTTGAGTTGCTGAGATAAAGCAATGAACAAAACAGTCCACAATTCCTTTCTTCATGGAATTTACAATTTAGTCACAAGTGATTCTCATCAACAAGATAAATAATTAAAACATTGAGTATCTCTGATGATGAGTGGTCAGGAGAAAAATAAAACAGGGAAATGGAGGAGTTGCACGTGTTCCCTTTTAGACAGGACAGATGAGGTCAATGTCACTGAGAGATGGTATTATGACCTAGGATCTGGCTACAGATACCGCTGTCATGCTCCCACCTTCTTTTTTCCTTCATAAGACTAGCTAGAGAGTAGTGCAATCTCAAGATTAAATTCTGCAGAGAAAATCTAAGCAGTGTGCTCCACTTCCAGCATTTACCAGAGGGCTCCAAATCTACCAACATAACCGATCAACTCTGCTGTTTGTTGCCTAGAATTCCCTTGAGAAGTTCCCCAGATGTAGAGGCTATTAGCAGGGCAGGATTTCAGAATTGCTGGATTTCCAGCTGTAATAACTCTAAAATAGCACTAAAACAACACTCTCACCCTCTGGCATCACTTTTCTCTCCATCTCCTCTAAGCCCCTTGTGGGAGCTTAGGGAAGGAGAGCAGATTCACAGTACACAACTGTGAATGATGACTTCAACAGCCTGCCCAAACTTCTGGTTCAGTGAAGAATAAAAAGGAGCAATTCTATGCAATTAGAGATGAATAAGCGTAATCATTTACTTTTATTGATCACATTTTTTAATTGAAAGTCCTATGTTTCCACGCTTTTCTAAAAATTTACATCTATCATCTTATTTGGTCTTCACAGTAGTTTTGTTGTGTATGTGTATAATTATCCACTTTCTATAAGCATAAAGAAGTTAAGTGACTTGCAGCTAATAATGTTAGATCGAAGACCCACCCCTAAGCCATCTGGCTCCAGAGCATTCATTGTAGTAACCATGCAGTATTTTCCCTGGAATACAGGAATGGGATAACTTGAAAGGGAAGATTCTCATTGATTAAGTTCCCACATGCGTTTTGATCCCTCAAGGATCCCATGGTATTGTTCTTTTCCTTCCCTTCTCTTCTATTCCCTTCCCATTTATTTCCTTCCTTTTAATTTCTGGGTCCAATGTTGACTTCACATCTTAGCCTCCACTGCCATCATGTTCCTTCCAGTCCTGTTCCTCCCTCTCAGACTCTCAAAAGACCTCTAACTACTTCTCTAGGCAGCATGAACCCTTGGGAAGTCTTTCTAATGCTTTTTATAAACACTAGTAACAAAGATAAAGAGACAGAATGTAAAGACTTCTTCCTAAGCTCCTTCCTCATCACCACCTTCTCTCTTCTCTCTTAAATCATGTCAAGAATGACAAAATTACTACCGTAGGGGAGGGAGGAAAAATTCTTTTTCCTTCTACCCTCCTAAGTTCTCCAGCTGAGACCCTGTAAATCAGGCTGATGGAAGACAGATTAACAAGAGACAAACAAACAGAAGTGTATCAACATGTGCATCGTGCATTCACATGGTACCCAGTGATGAGTAACTCAGAGTAGGGTTAGACTTGGGTCTATGTAACTAACTTAGTAGGAAGGAGGGAGGTGGAGAAAGGCACTTAAGGAGAAGCAAGGACCTTTTGGAAAGACAAGTGAGCCCTTGGGAGCACAGATGGGAGCCCTGATAGTTGTGAGAGTGTCCGGGTATGGGGCCAGAAGAGGAGATTAGAGTTGCACTGGGAGGCGATTTATGACAATTGAGGTCTTTCGGGAGGCTCTGCTATTAGGCAGAGAAGGGATTTCAGGAACTCAAATGCCTTCAGCTTGAAGTCATTCTTAGGCCAGAGTAGCACATTTTGGGGTGGCATGTCCTGATACCCTTTACCATGTAAATGTTCAGGAAGCAGCTTCTCTCCAAAAACCCAAGTAGGTGTGCACCGCATTATCTCTACATGAAGGGGAAGAGCTGGATAGGGGATCCTCTTGGCCATTGGGAGAGAGAAAGCCTTACCTTCTGGGATTTTAGTCCTCGTTCTTTGTCTCTTCTGATGCTGCTATGTCAGTCCTGCCTAGAGGTCACCCAACCTGAAAAGGTCTTGGGGGAGAGATAAGGGACCAGGATCACAGATGCCTGAAAAGGAAAGGGAAAAGAGAGATCTTGAGACATTGCTGATGGCAGTGGTGGGATCCCTTGGTCACTGGTCATTCCTAGATCGCCATTCCAATATAAGACACACTTGGACTGTATGTTCTATGAAGTTTCATTCTTTAGAATGCATTTGCTAACAGCTTGAGGTCATACAAATGTGACAAAACTCAGCCCACCCCTTCAAAGATCCCACAATCCAAATAAACCTATTAATTAATTGCCTTAAAAATATTTAACGTTCTCACTAGTTGAGGTTTGTGAGAGGTGAATTGAAAGTGTTGATTTCAGTGGCAATGTATCCAAATTATACTTTGTTCAACAGCAAGAGTGTTGCTCAAGGCTTGGGGCTTGATGCTATGCATCTTTGGCATTTTTTCATTAAAAAGTGCTAGCAGAAGTGTAACAGGACATTAGGCAAATTTATTTGCGTTTTTTAAAATTCCTCTCTCCCATCCTTTGCCCCCCACCTTTTGCCTCCAATATCTCGGTGTGAAACATGAACCACTTCCAAACAAGTTAAACTTTACAACCTACTTAGGTTCTCAGGCTCATTACCAAGGATTTAAAACCTCTCTATTCATTCAACAGCAATGGTTTCCATGGCAATTACTGCAACACATGACATCCCCTGCAGCTCAGCTTAAAAATGCACCAGCAGAAATGGCTACACATCAACACATCCATCAGGAAATGCTAGGAGTTAGGCTAGGCAGGTCTCCTTCTCCACTGGCACTGGGCATAAGAAACTAATAAATTAATAAAAATAAACAATCAATCGTTTTGATTTCTTTGTGCAAGATTGATTTTCTCCTCTCTTTATTGCAAGCCATCACACCTGTGAAGATATAATTTCTTGTAGCAAATCATTTGAATTCTATTTATGTGAAAGTGGACAGGGATGAAGACAAAGTGCTTACCATAATTTCTGTCACCACTTTACCCCCTTGATCTATTTCCGACTCTTTAGTCATTACGCTTTGCCCTTTCCCCTTCTAAGAGAGACATAAATTCTGAAAGAATAAGTGGAATGCCAAAGTAGAAACCCAATTGGAGCAGAGAATCACCTTCTACACTATCTGTCTACCCTTCCTACCTCCTGCCAAGAAACACAAACAGAAGGTGCACTTAAAATACATCCACAAGAAATAACTAGTCAAATGAATACACAAATCAGGAGCATCACTCTATTGAGCACCGGCCACGGGCGAGTACTGTGGAAAGAGCTTTGCATTAATCATTTCATCGTGATCTTATGAGATCAGTATTTTCACCACTGTACAAATCAAGAAATGCACACTCAGAGAGAGAAAGAAATTTGGTTAAGATCACATGGCCAAATGAGTCAGAATTGGGATTTTTAGCCCACATTAGCCTGGCTCCAGAGTCCACGCTCTTGAATTGATTGATAAAGGGACTTATTTTCTCACTCAAGTTTGAGGGAAGATAGGGTGGAGCAAAGAGTGCAGTCAAGAGGTCCAGGCTATTATCTGAGCTCTTGGAGCCCCTCTGCCCTGGCTGGGACAATTCTAAACCAGTCCCTGCAGCCTTATTCCTTCATTTTTCTGGGAAATGTTAATAGCAATGTTGACCTGCTTCCCTGGGTTGTGTAACAAGAGATTGTGAAATAAACAATAGGTGAGAGTTTGGAAATGCTAAGCAGTAATGTTGGTGACCATAAACGCACAAGGATAGACACATACATGCAAAGGGAAGACAGAGGGAAAACAAACATAACCAGAATGCTTTAAAATGAATAGGGAGAGGGGCTTGCCCAAAAGAGAATGAATGGTATAATCCTATTACCCTCATTCTGTCAAACCCGAAGCAGATGTGTTGGATGAGCAATGCAGCTCCTGATTCTAATTTCTGCAAGACCTGGCTCTAGAGGTGTAAAAGGCGCCCATGAGAAGACTGTCTGGGTCATTTCTGGCTGTTTCTGGTCTAAGAATATGTAACACCCTGGAAGCCTTTATGTATGTGTGTTCATTTCTCCACAAGGAAGAATTCTGGACTTCAAGGTTTCCTTATGGCAAGCACGGTAGTAATGCAAATATCAGTTATCTTCAGCTCTGGAGCCTGTTTGTACAATCATTAAATAAGGAGCTACATTAGTTTCATATTAAGGTAATTGCTAAGCTTATCGAACTTTGCATTTACTTAGGCTCAGTCCTTCGTGACGTGTGACACCTTTAATTAAAGGTGGCAATTAATGAGGCAGTTGAGGTTACCATGCTTGACTTTATGTTTTAGTCAGCAGAAATTACACATGGTTGTACCTTTGCATTATTTTCTCCTTCTCCTGCACTTTAGAAGCTATCTAAATGAGAACTTCGGAAATAACACAGAGCCGTGTCCCAAGCGTACTCACCCATATATTGATGTGATGAGCTTTTATTCAGCACCTGAGGATACAAAACAGAACCCTGCATGGTTCCTGCCTTCCAGGACTCAGGGTCTAGGCACAACCATATAAGATCTTAACAGGCATCATTTAAAAAGAAGGCCCCAGGGAAAATGTGAACTATAATCTACATAGATGTGATCAATCTGAGGCCCAAGGACCTGAGGATTTTGCAGGGCTTCCCATTTACTTCTACAGAAAGCACATGGAAAAAAGATGTGTCAAAACTGCCAATGATTGTGCCAGCCTCTTCTAAGGACCTTCCATGACAGTACAAAATAGAGGCACTTGGGAATTTTAACATTCAGGAAAAGAAGATTAAGCGATCGCTTTCTGTAAACTTTCAGGTTGGTCAATTTTATCCATAACTTACATAAATGGATTATAGCTGAATTCTGTGTTGAGTCCAAAGGACTTTAGATTTTCCAAGGCTATTATTTGAGGATGT